TGAGTGGCTTTCCAGGTGAGCCCCACCGGGCATCCTGCACTGCCGAACATTTCCAGCTGTGGCTGTTCTGGGTTTGTGGGGCAGATCTGGGCATTGCCCGGCTGACCCCGGGGGAGGCAGCCCCGAGGCCATGGGATGTTCAGCTCTGCTGGATCTCCATAGAGGGGGCCAGGAATGCACGGGGAACAAAGCCCAGGGCTGCACAGAGCAAAGGATGAAGGGCAGCGGAGTTTGATAACCACATTAAAGCACTACCAACATCTGTTCAAGGCAAAGACAACACTATCTGCAGGAATTAACCTCCTGAACCACTTAATCATTAACCTCAGCAGAGGGAAAGTTGGACAACAAGAGCCCTATTTGTCAGGAGAGATGCAGTGAGCAATATTTTACTGGGAACAGCGTGAGAAGGGCTTGCCCAGCTTTATACATTTTAAACACAGAATATATTTGTGTGGGAAACAAGGAGACAATGGGTGTAAATAAACAGATGATCCTACCTTGAAGCCTTCATCCATTTATCCTGTTCAAAGTGGCTTGAAATGGTTTGTCCTGTGTTTCCTCCAAACAAGCAGAGATGCTTCAGTTCTCACTCAGGAATATTCCTGGCCATGGAAAGAATTACAAATGAATAGGATGTCACAATTTTAAACTTGCACCCATATCCCAAAGTTTGCTACTGCAAAACAAATCAGGGATTGTTGCTGTGCAAGAAGCAGCAGGGCTAGAGAAGTAAAGTGGTTTTGTTTAATGATTATTTGTTTCTGTAGACTGTCACCCATTCAGCTGTCCTGCTGTAAACCAGCCAAATGCCTTTCCTCCACATGGGGACAGCATGTAGGGATTTTTTATTTCTTTGGGGTCTGATTTTGTTTTCCAAAGGAGGAAAGGATTCGATTCCTTCAAACTTCACGGCTCCAGATTTGTGGCAGAACTGCACTGAGGCTGGCAGTTCATTTCTCTGGAGCTCAGGTAATCATTTACCCAGGGGTGTAAAGCTCTGCCACATAAGAATGCTGCTGTTTAACACCCACTTTGCAGCAGCCCCAGTGGCCACACAAGGTGTGCATAATCAGGGCCCAGATGTCTGCTTGGATATTGCCACAGTTGGAGGGGAAAGAAGGAAGAAAGAAAACCAAAAGGAGCTTGGGAAGAGGAAGGACTGAAAGGCTGCAAACAGAACCTGCTCCAGTCCAAGAGCTGTGTAGTAAAAAATTGGGTTGTGCCAGAAATGGCCCAAGGTCTCCACCCAAAAGACTACACTCCATTAAAATATATTTTCCAGCTTATTCCCTACTGTCCACATGGGGGGTTCCTGTCTGCTACTACTTAAACTTCCCTAATTAAAATAGAATTATGATGTCTGTGGTGGGGGAAAAGGGAGGGTTTCACACCAAGGGAGGGTTTCACACCAAGGGAGGAAGAAGGAAGATCTCAGCCACTTTTTTCTGGGTTATTTTTCTATTAGTCAGCAAGCTGAAGGGTTTTGGTACAAAGCCTCACATGTGTCAAAGCCAGGAGCAGGGCAGCATCACACAACCAGGCCCTGAGATTCTCTCTCTCACACAGCAGCATGACCTTAAATCAGCTGAAACCACAGTGTCTACCTTGGCTTTTATTCATTCCATTACAAAACAGATTGGTAACTTGAACAAAAAGGAAAAGTAATGGGTAATTTTTCAATAAATGGTACAATATTTACACCCTTCTACAAAAATCATCATTGAATGGACTTAGAAACTGAATTTTCCATTCAGATGAGGGTTCAGACTGGACAAAATGTGGATTTTACCTGGTCTGGAGGCACCATCCCTGTGTGCCCTCCTTTACCTGTGCCTGTCAGACATGAGGCAGAGCCACAGCAGCCCAACACTAATTACACATTATTTTAGCCATGAAGTATACCCCCAACTTGCCTGACCTTAATGCTTGCAGTGTGATTAGTGGTGTGCTGACAAAAATTAGAAAAGAATCACCATAATTACCCATTTTTAAATCAGTAAAAGGTAAACAGAGTTATCTCCCCAAAGATTTAGGTTTACCAACACACTGGCAAGATGCTCCTCTGGTCAAGGCATCCTGAAGAAATGTTCCTCAGACAATTCATTTCTCCAGCAGGATGATCCATCACAGTCTGCACTGCCACAAATTGATTTCTTGTGGTTCATCGTGGTAATTTCATCCTTGCTGCTGTCCCTTGCTGCTCTTCAGAGGCTGAGCTGCATCACTGCTTTTTAAACTGCTGTTTGTGGAGGAAACCAAGCTGGAGCAGCAGACAAGGCCCTCATTAAGGTGGATAATTAATTAGAACTTTGCAGCCCTCCCTTTGTACAGGGCAGGGAGCTGGGTGCCCCCTCACCTGAGCTCTCTTGCACAGACACCTGCTGCTCATAATTAAGATCCAATGCCCAAATTTGCATATCCTGGTTTCTCTCACTCAGCTCCAGAGACAAAGTCCAGCCTTTGCTGCAGGGAGCAGCAGCTCCAGGGAAATGCTGCTCCTGGCCAGCTGCTCCTGCTGAAGGCACCAAGCACCAGAGTGTTTCTATTTAAAAACGATGTGTTTGGGCTGGACTTGAAGAAAAGCACGTGGTGATTTCCCCCTCGGGGGGATAATAGGCTTTTCATGAGATGACAAGTGGCAGAAGATGCCATAAACTCCAGGGCAGGCTTTGTTTGAGGCTGGCAGAGCTCAGCAGTGAACTTGAGGATTCCCTTCCCTCCCTTCCTGCATGGGCTGGAGAGAAGGATCACATCCACTTCATTTTCTTATGAAATTGCACTGTGGAGCCTGATCCTCCTTGCCTTTACTCAGGCAAATGCTTCTTGCAGTGCCTGGAAACAGAGCCAAGGGTGTGCCCCTGGTGTGGGGAGAGCAGACACCTCCCAAACCAGCAGGGACACCTCACCCTCCATCCACAATTCATGTCCTGGTCCTGCCTTTGACACATGTGAGGCTTTGTACCAAAACCCTTCAGCTTGCTGACTAATAGAAAAATAATTAATAGAAAAAAGTGGCTGAGATCTTCCTTCTTCCTCCCTTGGTGTGAAACCATCCCTTTTCCCTCCACCACAGACATCATAATTCTTTTTTAAGACCTGGAATCCACAATTCAGAGAGGTGAATATGGCACAGGAGAAAAGCACTGGGAGCCAGCTGAGAATCTCTGAAAACCCAGCCCCAAATGCCACGTATTCCTCTGTGGGGCAAATGAAACAGGCAGCTCCCTCTGGTCCTTCAGAGAGAGGGTTTTCCACGTTCACACCTTTCCTGCAGAGCTGGCACCAGCTGAGAGCTGCTCCTCAGCTTTTGGGGGATGCTGAGAGCCAGCCTGGATCTCCTGCTAACAGCTCAACGTGTTCCTCTCTGCATTTTTCCTCCAGGTTGCCCCAGGGCAAGACACAGCTTTTGCTGGAAGCCTTTTAGAGCCCTCACTGGGTTTAAACCAGTCCTCCAGATGATCAAATTGATTCTAAGCCTGGTTTAGTCACCTACCAAATGGAGGCTAAGCCAAAACAGCTGCCACAGGGCAGGATCTCAGTGGTGGTGGGATTTGGATCTACAGCTTGTTTCAGCTCTTTTCCAAACCCAAAATTGACATTCAAATGTTTTCACCTTGAATTCAAGAAAAGGAATAAAAACAAAGCCATGAAAGGAAACACAGTAGGGAGAATACAGGGTGGCCTCAGTACAAATATCAATTTATAATGTAAATCCACAGGGATCTGCAGGAAGGCCCAGGAGTGGTGGTGCACAGCCAGATCAACAGAGACCATGACTGGGATGCAGGTCATGATGCCCCTGCTTTGCTCCTTAGCTGAAGAGAAGCAAAATTGACTTTCATTCACATTTTACTGCTTGCTCTGTGCTTTACTCCCATTTTTAGATGAGCTGATCTAAAAAGTGAGGGCTGCTCTCTCCAAAGCCTCCCAGTTTTGCCCAGCAAACTGAGGTGGCATTCAAGACAGAGAATCTTGGGGCTGCCTCTGAGATCCTTTCCACATGTCCCCTTTGGAAACATCCTTCCTTTCACTTTTTCCTTAACAAAAAAAACCATCAGCTATATATAAAATGCATTTTTCTACTTCTTAAACTTCAAACCAGAGAACAGATCTTATATTGGATCTGGAGTGATAAGGCAGATACACCTGAGGGCTGATCCAGCTTGGAAGTTCCTCTTTTGAAGGGTGAAAGCAAATTTACAGTTTGTGTAGAGCAAAGTTACACAGTGAGTAACAATTATCTAACAGTAAAGTTATCTAAACTCATGATTGTACCTGGAAATAATAAGCTGATGGGTAATTAACTGCTTACATTTAAGAGAAAACAGAAAACAAGCTAATTTCTGATGGAATTAACTGCTACTGAACTTCATTTAAAAAAAATTAAGACACTTCAGAACCAGACATGGAAATGGTACATAATTCATTATCTGAGACACAACTTCAGAACCCATCCCTGGGAGTACCTGTTCAGCAGCCTGTGGCAAATGAAGAAGACAAAGAAAAACATTGCACTGGGAGTCATTAATTGAATTAATTAACCTAGTGACATTGTCATAGGAAGAATTTATCTGGCAACCAGCAGGAGCAGATCTCCAATCATTTCACCATGGCTAACAGATTAACACTCACAGGAGCCCCTGGCAGCTGGCTGTGAACACTGCAAATTATCAGAAATTAATTAGCCAAATGCTGTGCACCCATGTGGATATTTTTGGGTTTAAGTAAAGATTATGAAGCCAATAGCTCATCTGATGATTTATTGAGAGGAAACATCTTTGTTTGAACAAATAGGTTGCAGCATGGCTTTCTAATGAGAAAAATAGGGGGGAAAAGGGGGGGAAACTTAGAGCAAAACCATAGTTACAAAAGCCAAACACTTGTAAACAGGAATTAAACAATCCCCTCTGAAAAAAGGTTTATACACAAATTGTTTCAGAAAGATCTATTTTTTTTGAGAACAGAAATAATTATTTTTGCACACTTTCAGCATAATTGTTTCCTCCTTCAATATATTAAGCTGGGATTTAAATATTCAGAAGCACTTCTGCAAGATAGATTCGTTCATCCAGATGTTAATGGCTGTATCACACATGAAAAACAGAATTTTAAGGAAACTGGGAGAGCAACATAAAATTTAACCTAAATTTTTTCTGCAACCTCTTGTCAGAGTAACCAGCAACATAACCAAAGCACTTTGGAAAGACTCCTTTTGATACTACAGTGCTTCTTAGGAGTAGCCAAGGACTTGCCTAAAATAAAACCTTAATTTCCACGTGATTTAACCAAAAGTAAAACAGATTCATTCTCACAGATGGGTTTCAACTGTCACCTTCAAAAACTCGATTACTTCCACCTTACAGTGTTTTGTTTGATTTTTATTTAGGTGGACTTGGAAAAGGATGAAGTTTTTAAACATGCAAAATGTTTAAAAACTTTTAACTTTTTAAAACCTTAACCATCAGTTGGGAAGTGCAATGTACCTATATTTAAGAACCTCAATAATCCATGTTTTTTGGAAGAGTGGGGTTTACAGAATACAAACAGTAACCAATTTAGCCCAAGAATATCCAGATATTCACCCAGACACAGAGCTGCTGAGAAGGGAAAAGGAGAGCAGGGAGGAAAGAACAGGAGAACAGAAGGATTAGAGTGGAAGAGGTGTGGAAACACAGAGGGGATGTTGCTGACACTGAGTCCTGAGGCTCTGGGAAGGTGATCCCAGGTTTGAAATAATATCTTGTGAGAGACCCCAGGGGAAACAGTGCTGGCCAGGTCATCATTCCAGGCTAATGTGGTGCTCTTCCCCGGGGAGCTGCAGGCTCACAGGCTCAGGTTTCCAGTCCCCTGGGGGACAGGAGGCTCAGAGGGCCTTGCTGAGGACAAGGCAGCCTTGGGAGCTGGGAAGGGGCAGCAGAGGTGGGTGTGGAGCTGCCCAAACTCATCCGGGGCAGGCAAGGGGAAGGGTGAGTGATGCTCTCCCTGCTCTCAGTGAGAGCAAAATCAGCCCAAAATGAAGGAGCACTGGGCCAAGCTGCCCCCACTGAGCTCCTAAATCACAGGTGTGGAAACCTGGAATTGCTCAGGCTGGGAATGAGCTCTGAAATGACCAAGTCCAACCACCAGCCCAGCAGCAGCACTGTCCTCAGGTGCCACCTCCACACGTTCATGGACACTTCCAGGGATGGTGACTCCACTGAACTCCCTGTTCAACCCTTTGCACAATGAAATTTTTCCTAATTTTCGACTGAAACCTCCCCTGGCACAACCTGGGGCTGTTTCCTCCTACATTGCCACTCACTACCAGTGAGAAGAACCTGATACTCACAGGCACCAGCTCAGCACCCTCATTTGTGCTTGGTTGAATATAAAAACTCCTCTGTGTAAGAAATTGGAGGTTCCCAATGTTACATTCATGGGAGCAACGCTTCCATCACAGAAACTCCTCTAGAGCAGAATCCTACCCAAAAAATTGGGATATTCTGCCAATTTTGCCTATTCCCTGGCAGGTTTACAGAAAATGTGCAGGCAGCTGAGGAGCCCTGCCTGGAAAACAGGGCACACCTAGAAACCTGGAGCTCTCAGACACCACCAGCTCTCAGTGCAGTAAAGCAGCTTTAAAAGCCTGCTATTTTCCAGTGTGTTCCCATGCACCAGCTCAGTACCCTCATTTGTGCTTGGCTGAATATAAAAACTCCTCTGTGTAGGAAATTGGAGGTTCCCAATGTTACGTTCTGCATGGGAGCAACGCTTCCATCACAGAAACTCCTCTAAAGCAGAATCCTACCCAAAAAATTGGGATATTCTGCCAATTTTGCCTATTCCTTGTTTGCCCAGCTCCCTGGCAGGTTACAGAAAATGTGCAGGCAGCTGAGGAGCCCTGCCTGGAAAAAAGGCCACACCTAGAAACCTGGAGCTCTCAGTGCAGTAAAGCAGCTTTAAAAGCCTGCTATTTTCCAGTGTATTCCTATGCACCAGCTCAGCACCCTCATTTGTGCTTGGTTGAATATAAAAACTCCTCTGTGTAGGAAATTGGAGGTTCCCAATGTTACATTCACGGGAACAACACTTCCATCACAGAAACTCCTCTAGAGCAGAAAGCTCTGTGCCAATCCCTACCCAAAAAAATTGGGATATTCTGCCAATTTTGCCTATTCCCAGGCAGGTTTACAGAAAATGTGCAGGCAGCTGAGGAGCCCTGCCTGGAAAACAGGGCACACCTAGAAACCTGGAGCTCTCAGATACACCAGCTCTCAGTGCAGTAAAGCAGCTTTAAAAGCCTGCTATTTTCCAGTGTGTTCCATGCACCAGCTCAGCACCCTCATTTGTGCTTGGTTGAATAGAAAAACTCCTCTGTGTAGGAAATTGGAGGTTCCCAATGTTACGTTCTGCATGGGAGCAACGCTTCCATCACAGAAACTCCTCTAAAGCAGAATCCTACCCAAAAAATTGGGATATTCTGCCAATTTTACCTATTCCCTGGCAGGTTTACAGAAAATGTGCAGGCAGCTGAGGAGCCCTGCCTGGAAAACAGGGCACACCTAGAAACCTGGAGCTTTCAGTGCAGTAAAGCAGCTTTAAAAGCCTGCTATTTTCCAGTGTATTCCCATGCCTCTGCCAGGGGATGTACAGGCACTTGTTAACATGTGTACTGCTCTAATTTTAAACAGCTGCTTCTCCTCCTGTGCTTGGCAAGAGGCTTAGGGGATAAATACTGCAGAAGTAAGAGAAAAGGCAGCTTCTTGAAAGCTGATAACCTCAGTTTCTTGCTTCTTGAGAAGCCACTTTATCACAGCATGGATCTGGTTCTTGCATGGCACAAAACACCAACTCAGGGACTTACAATTAAACTCCTAAATCCACATTCATGCAACAAAAAAAAGGCAAATGCTTTCATTTTTTAAAATGTTGATTTCTCATTGCCTGGCTGTAAAATCCTGAACTTTATACCATTATATGTACATATACATTACTCCTCTTTATTTTCCTGCATATAAGTTATTGCCTGCTTAACTGCACTGAGAAAGAATGAGAAAAGGCTACAAGAATAAGATGGCTAAACAGAAAAACATAGAGAACTTAATTATGGGATAATTTGCTTAAGACTGGAATATTCTTCAGCTATTTTTTACTATTATATCTTGCCTTGTTTGAATTCTCAAAGACCTCTTTCAATCATTTTTCCTACAGGACTGTCATAATGTCCAAACTACATATATAAATATATTTTTAAATAAAGCCATCAATTATTTTAAAAGAAAAAAAAAAGAGAAAATAGCCTTGCAAAAGCAGCTGCAGCTGAACTCTTCTCTGCATAAACTTGTTGGACATTTCTAATTATCCAGCACTCCAAGGAAAGTGAAACACATCCCTACTCCAAGCAGGTGTATCAAGATTTACAAGGAGTTTTTGCTGCAATCCTTGTGTGTGGATGCTCAGGCATGGAAGAAGGCTGGGGTTCAGCCTGAGAACAGCTTTGGAATCCCTGTGGAAATGTTGTGTCTCATGTCCTGAGCATGGCACTGAGCCAGAAGTAGAGGGAACAACTCTGCTGTGAGAGGAGCCTTTCTCCTCAGGTGTGTGAAACCCAGGGGTTTGCATTTTTCAGGGTTTTTTTGGACAGAACTGTACTTTCAAACGGATACAGAGATACACAAGTGTGTGATTTCTTTTGTGGCTCCTATCTGAAGCCCTCCTGTGTGCAATGTGTGTTTGTTCTTACATCACAAAAGCATCCTTGATGTGCCTTCAGCTCCTCACACCCAACAGAAATCATCTTCCCAAGGGCTTCCCCAGTGAAAAGGCTGCAAAACCCACTCTCTGCCCGAGTTTTACTGTGCCCACATTGGTTCTGCCTCCCCCTGCTCATTATCAAGCACGGATGTAAAACCAAACTGGGGAAATGCAGCACTTTAACCAGAGATTTTCAGAAAAATATGGTTTTTGTCCTGCTGCACTTTGCTGGGTGACTACAGGGTCACCACCCACCCCAAGGGCAGAAAAATCAGCACTGGCTTTACAGAAGTGAGTTTTTAACTTGGTATTAACACAGAAAACAGTGGCTCAACACCCATTATAAAAACCCGTTAAAGTCTTCATTTTTCTATAAATTACATATATATATATAAAAATATTTATATAAATCTATATAATACAGATATAAATATATATAATATTTTAAATAATACATAAAAATTATATAACTAATAATTTAATTTTAATTATATATAACAAATTATTAATATAATAATTTGATATTATATTAATATAATATCATTATATTAATATATTGTATAATATAAATTATATTATATTACATTATATACAATATATTATTAATATATTGCATATAATATAAATTATAATATATTATTAATATATTAATGTGTTAATACTTTGTTATATAATAATTTAATAATTAAAATTAATATAAAACAAATTAATTTAAAGTAATAATTTAAAAATTATATAAATATATAAATATACATTATATTTTTATATAATGTTTATATATAAATATTTTATTTATTTATTTAAATAGAATTTTTATATTAAAATATTAAAATTATATTTCAACTATATATATTATATAGATATTATAATTGTACGATGTTTTATAATATATCTATATTATATAGTATTATAATTATAATATGTTTATATCGTATATAAATTAATGTATAATTATAAAAACTATATTTGATTCATAATTACAATTATTTAAAATTATATATAAGATATATAGATTATAATATATTTCCTATGAATTTTTAAATATAAATTTTAAATATAAATATTTTGATCTAAATTCCCATGGAACAGATAGGATTATTTGTATCATTTATCCAATTTTCCATTGAGTATCCAGGTCATACATTGCATTTTCTGTTGAGGAGTTACTGGCAATGCTCATTTGCATCTGCAGCTACTGAGGATGTATAACTGAAACAGCAGCAGGCAGTTCATGGAAAAACAACTTAGTATGGTTTTACCAAAGTGTTTTTTCTGCCTAAATATGATGGTTTAGTAAAATATTAACTGGATGATGAAAAACTTGGGAGCAGGCCACATTAGGGTTATTTCCCGCTTTTATTTAAGCACATTGATGAGACAGAGCTGCTCTGAGATTTGCTTTTTGAGGAGAAACTTCTCCCAGCAGATTTTTAGGATAATTTACTGCTTATTATATTCAGGCAATATACACATGGTATTATTCCTCACAGATTTCTGCTTTCTTGAACAAAGGCTGCTCCAGATACCTACTTAGATACAACCTAACAACACAGAAATAATTGTGCTGCATTACTCTAATGCAATGTTTTACCCATAGTCATTAACACATTTCAACATTACCTGTGACCATATCATAAAGTAATATTATCTTCTTGCTTTGCATGATGATTAGATCTCAAAAAAAAACCCCAAACCACACACTGTTTATCTGGACAATCTTCATTTCAGCTGTTTTACCTATTTGAAAGTAATCCATCAGTACAGAGAATGGCTATTTTCTTGGTTGTAATGATATTATTTTTAGAGTTTCATTAGCTATGTCTGGATATGTGAAATCAGGAGGTGTCTAAAAAATGAGTAGGAAATAATCCCAGGAGAATGAAACAACACATCCCCAACTAAAGACAGACAGAAGAACAAGGAAGGCATCAGCCCAAAGCTGATCAGCAAAGGTTTCTCTACAACTTGCACTGTCAGACCAACCCAAAACCAACAGTTTTATGGCCAGATGTTGATGAAAAGTGTTTGTATGTCTGTGATGTTTATAGGAGACATCTTGATTAATAAACCAGACCAACAAACCCTGAAATTGTGTCACTGGGTGGATTAAATTCTGGTGAAATAATGCATTTCTACATGCTGCTAAATAGAAATTATGTTTAGCATCTGGTTCAAGTGCAGTCCCCAAGAGTCTGTTCTCTGCTGCTTCATATTTCTATCAATGACTCAGGGAAAAAAACAAACATAAAAACATCACTGATAAAGAACAGAGAGTGGGGAAATGTTAACTAAAAAAGGCTGGACCAGCAATGCAAGGTGAGTTGGATGGCTTGGTAAATTATGCACAAATATGGGCAAATCCTCATGTCAGTAGAGCCAAAGGTAAAAATCACAAACCTGGAAATGAAGTGTGCAGGCCACAAGAGCAGGCTGAGGAAGCTGCCTGGGGGACTGGAAGCTTTGGAAAAAAATCTGTGGGGTTGTGGATGAAAATCAGTGTCCTGCACAATAAAGGAGCAAGGGGCCATGAGAGCTTGGGGCACACAAGCAGCAGAAGCTACAGGAACAGCAGGAGTTTCACCCTTACCCCCAGAACTGCTGCTACTGTTCCTAAAATCTGACATTTACAGAAAAAAAATGATACCAGAGAATCCAAGGGTCGAGAGAAAAGGCACATGAATGAGTAAAAGACATTTTTAAAGATGATATCTACTGATATACTGACCTTGCAGCAGCAGTTCACAGGGGAGTGCACTGCTTAGGCCATTCAGGAAATGAAGTTTGATGCCCACAATTGTCCCCAGTGCTTTTCAAATCCATGGCATCCACTGAAGAGTGGGCCCCAAGTCTGGAAGAACAAATATGCTCATACTCAAGATAACTGCACAAAAACCCCACTATTAGAACAATCTGTGTGCAATCTATTGATCATGAACTTCAGTTTGTCCCTTACAGCCACAAGCTGGCAAAAAATCCCAAAATAACAGAATAATTTGGGTTGGCAAAGACCTTCAAGATCATCAAGCCCAACCTGTGACCAGCCACCACCTTTGTCACGCAGCCCAGGGCACTGAGTGCCACATCCAGGGGTTCCTTGGACACCTCCAGGGATTCATGGACACCTTGGACACGTTCAGGGGTTCCTTGGACACCTCCAGGGATTCATGGACACATCCAGGGGTTCCTTGGACACCTCCAGGGATTCATGGACACCTTGGACACATCCAGGGGTTCCTTGGACACCTCCAGGGATTCATGGACACCTTGGACACCTCCAGGGATTCATGGACACATTCAGGGGTTCCTTGGACACCTCCAGGGATTCATGGACACCTTGGACACACCCAGGGGTTCCTTGGACACCTCCAGGGGTTCATGGACACCTTGGACACGTCCAGGGGTTCCTTGGACACCTCCAGGGATTCATGGACACATCCAGGGGTTCCTTGGACACCTCCAGGGATGGGGACCCCAAACTTCCATGGGCAGCCTGTCCCAAAGTTTAACAGCACTTTCTGTGAGGAAATTCCTCCTGGTGCCCAAGAAATGCTACAAAAATCCTAAGGAAAAGACTGAGAGAACATCTTCACCTCTACAAGAGCTGCACAAAAGGCTCAGAGCAGTTGTTCCCAGTGGGAAGGGGGATCCTGGAGCCAGGGAATCTGCCAGCCTTGTACCATTGATCAGCTGCACTCAGCAAGGACAGCAGCAAACACTGCACTGCCATCACTGCCCATCGAGGCTGCACTGGTGTAGAAGAGAGCAGAAAACTCTTTACAGAGAAAAGGAGAAGATTTAGAAATCTCTTTGCTGAAAAGAAGTTGCATTCTGTTGATAAAGTCCAATCCAGTTTTTTATAGCTGTGGAATTTATTGGGTTCTGCTGGGAGGACAGGATTGAAAACCACCCACTAAAAGGCTTTACTTGCATTTATTTTGCTATTCTGGCATGAGAGAATAGCAGAAGTTATCCCATCTCAGGTAAAACCTGCTGCAGCCTTATGAGATTTGAAAGGAGACACTGAGTGACCAACAGTTCATCCCTCCACTGGATCATTCCTTTATTTGCTTGCATTCCTCAGGCAGGACTGAGGTGCTGTTGCCTCCTCTGCAAGTGCAACCTGAGAGGAAAAAGACCCTGCATGATAAATTCCCACCTGCATCAAACACTCTTATCTGCTTCCCATTCCTTGTGCCCTCTCCCACTCACCTGGAACTGAACACTTCCCTTCTGCTTTATCTTATCTTGGAAACAAGGAAATGCCACGAGTTACATGTCAATATGACCTCTGTGAACTAGGAAAAAGCTGTCTAATGTGATGCCTTGTGGCTCCATTAAACCAGCTAAAGATGCAGCTTGAATTCTAGCAGTGCTGGGAAAAGAAAATATGCTTTAGGCTGTGAGTTTAAAAAATGTAAGGGAGATTTGGGATAAAGAGATCCTTCAGAAGATGAGCTTACATAGAAGTTGCCCACAATTTGCTTTAAACTCTTTTTTTTCCCATTAATTGAATATTTTCACTCTGTATTTATTTCAGGGATTAAATTGAAAACATTAGCATTTTAGGCAATCTAAAGCTTAACTGGGGAAACTGGAGTGACCTCTAAGAAAATAGTCAGGAATTTTCTTTCCATAATTTAGCAATCAGTGAAGCAATAAACAAGATGAAACATTTGTGTTCTTGAGATTTTCTTTGCTTTGTCAATGTAAAAATTCTTTCCCTCATGGGGACTGAGTTTTCCTTTCACCTCTCCTCTTCTAGTGCCATATCAGACTATGCTTTTTGACCAGGAGAAGTTGAGATGCATTACTATTTTAATGCACATTAATGCATTAATAAATACTCTTTTAGGCCAGAGCACACAGTCCCATTCTGGGCTCCCCACACTGAGCACGTTCAGGTCTGTGCTGCAGCAGCAGAGCAGGAGCTCACTCTCCCCAGGGACAGCAGAAATGGTTCTGCAGCCCCTGGATTGTGCAGGATAAAATTATGAAAGGGTTACCTGGAGACTTCTGCTCTCCTGCAGATGCTTCTTACCTGGGAGTGGCACCAGCACCAGAGCAGGGCTGAGCCTCCAGATGAACTTTCTGATTTAGACCCCTGTCCACCACAAGGGACAGGAGTTTCCTGATGCTGTGGGGATAGAAAAAGTCACTTCTCATTAGAACCTTAAACTAAGCAAAGTCAAACAGGCCTTCAAAACCTCTGAAGATCTTTGGAGAATGGAGGAAGACAATGTTCCTGCCTGAATCTTCTCTTACTGATGTTCAGATTTATCTGAAGACAGATGACATTAAATATCTGCCAAGCACATAAATACATTTTCACTGGCCAAATGACCACAGACACCTTTTGCACACCCACAGCCTCTGCAGCATTATTTGGGGGGGGAATGTCATCTCACTAAATAGATCAGCTGCTGTAAAATTTTGGATTGTAAAGCAGGGCACCCAGTGTACAGGAAAAAATGATGAGGAAGACTCCACTGATATTGGAAGGTTCATTAATTGCTTTATTACACTATATTATTCTATACTATATTACACTACATCTAAACTGAAACTGCACAAGCACTCAACTGACTGAACAAATCTTGTGTCTGTCTGCACAAACACTTGGCCCTGCCAGGCCAAGGAAACAAAACCCCATCACTGGGGGTAAACAATCTCCATGTTGCATTCTGCTTTGGCACAAACACAGGCACAGCCAATGAGATAAGAATTGTTCTGATCATTCTTTTCTCTGCTTCTCTCAGGTTCAGAGAATGTGAATGCCACACTTTTGTATGGGCCCCTGTATAAAGGTCTCACCCATCAGAGAGGTTGTTTGCCTTCCCTATGAAGGAAAAGCTGCAGTGAGTGCTTCCAGGGATGTGTTTGTCCCTGACAGTGTGGCAGGGCTGGGTTGAGGAGAACAGGCTGATTTCTGGCTGTACATCCTGCAGCAAGGTTTGACAGAAAGTTACCCCTGATTACCTTCAACTGCAGCTGCCTTTGATTTCATCCTGGCTCATACAGGAAAATAACTAGCAAAAAGTGCAGAATGTAACAGAGGAATTTCCAGATTACCTGGAAATGGTTTGTATTTCTTAACTCCCACCCCGCAGGTGAGGTCAAGGAGCCTCTTCCCTGTGGGCCTGTCTGAGTGCAGAGAGGACCTGCAGCCACATCTGGAGATACTTGATCCTGCATGAAAAGAATTGGTGAATTTGATGAATGCCTTGTTGAGATGAAGCCCTCAGGTGTGACAACAAGATGCATTGGCAGATATCCCAGAGAAATGCAGATCCTGCTCCATCAGATGACATTAAACTGGATTTCTATTTCACCAGCTCCATTTTCAGTCCGAGGGAAAAGTGCCACATTTACAGCTCTGAATGCAGAGGGACAGCACTCACAAATGCCCCTCCTCACCCTCCCAGTGTGAGGTGACCTTTCCAGGAGTGGAAGACAGTCCTGTTTCCACAGCCAGCATCCTGCAGCTGCCAGCAAGGGAAAGAAACTTCTCCAGGAAAGAGAGGTGGAGTGGAAATCACCAGCTGGCAAATGAACTCACGGTGGAACAGTAAGAAATGCAGTGGACTGAAAAGAACCAACCAAGAAAATGCAGTGGACTAAAAAGAACCAGCCAAGAGGCACTCTGGGAGCAAAGGCTGCTCTGTGACATTGCACCCACTTGGGACAATTCTCTGAACAATAAAAGGGGATAAACCACCGTGAGCCAGTTGGAAGAGAGAAGTTGAACTTCTGACCAAGCCTTATCTGTGAGCAGACAAAGGGAGCCAGGTGAAGGAGATCCCTGGTTTAGAGCCAGGACCAGGGAGAGGAGGAGCACAAGGCCCCAGGGTTCCTCTGCCTGCAGGTGAACACAGCAGGAAGGGCACAGAAGCAACGAATTTGACACAAATAAAAGAAAAGGATGCTCAACTCAGATTCTCAATCAAATGTTTCACTCCCTGCACTTTCACCAACAGTTTCAAAGACAGGATGTCTTGAGCCAGTTTTATTAAAAAATTTGATGTGAAAGACTGCATCCAGTGCAAAACACTGTGGGCAGGAAGGAATGAGCACATTAAAAGTCTTTCTGTACTTCCTCACTGTTTAAAGTTAAATTTAACTACTTTAACACTACAGATAGCTCTGATTAATCTTATTTTTGTCCTCTGAAACAAAACACATGGATTACATTTTCTAAAACTTTATTCTATGAAGCATCCTTGTTCTGGGAAAATAGCTAAATGTTTTTGTAACATCAGTGGAAACAAAGCAAGACTAATTATTCTCTAACAAAACTTTTCATATATTTCAAAAATCTTTTGAAATGGAAGAATACCCATCAGCCTCTATTTTAACAGGAAATTTTAGGGGAATATGAAAGGCATTTAGCTGCTGTGCAGAATGAGTAATTTGAAAAGCATTTACTCTGGAAGAAAATGCAGGTATTCCTTCTTGCTTCTCCCCCACACCACACAGGCACAGAAGAAAATGTTTTGGGAAAATTACTTTAATATTGCTATTCTTCTTGTAATAGAGGCCTTGTTAGCAAGGCAGGACTCAGAGCAGGGTGGCACTTTTCTGGGGCTGGGAGCTGAGGGCAGATTGATGTTTAACTTTGCAGAGTGCTTTGTAAACTGGGACAGGGGAAATGGGAACCAAAACAAGGAAAGGACATTGCTGGGCATCACAGGGAAAGGTGCTGGGCTGGGATGGGAGCAGCCAGGAGCAAGGGGTGCTGCAGGAGCTTGGCAATCCAGGGCCAGGCTGGCGGAAAATGAGGCACAAAATTCCCTGAGCTGCAGTGGGAAGAGGGGAAAGGAGATTGTGGGGTAGCACAGCCAGCACAGCAGGGTTTGGCATGGCCAGGGAGGGAGGGCAGGAGAGGAACCAAGGGTTTGTCCAGCTGGGAGAGGAGTAAGGTGGCAGCTACAAGGAATTCTGCAAGGGTTTTTTATTTGAGGGTGTTGTAACTCATCATTTCCACTGGGATTTTTTAGGTTTGTCTGGGATCTACAACCCCACTTGCCTATATTTGTATATTCCCTCATTATACTCACTTCTAGGGTAGTTCTTGCTTTGAATTTAAGGCATTCAAATATATATAACCTGGGACATGTTGCTGAGATTATCCCATGGATAAGTGGCATGATTGTGCCACCAGAATGGAAACTGAGCCGAGCTGACAGGCACATCACTCTGTAAGTCATGAATTTTAATGGATTTTAATGAATCTAGAGTCTGTGGCTGGTCTTAAAAGTGCTCAGTAAAACTCCACCAATGCTTTCTTGACTTATAAATTATTGGCATTTGTTTCACCAAGGAAGGACACTGAAACTGCAGCTTTTTGATCAAGATTTCATCTTGTTCTGTTACTGCTTTCTGCCTGTGCAATTAATTCAAGTAAATTTTGTAGGATTATATTAATGTATAGGAGAAACAACCCTTCCTCTGTTTCAGTTTAAGAGGATCCTTTCTGGCTCACCCAGTGCAAAATTAAACTCACAGGGAAAGGGATGAAAGATCAGGCACTTTGAGCTTGTTATTGTTCAAAAGAAGATCTCTGAAGCAAATAGAATGTGGAGTTCCAGTAAATGATAAATTTGGTCTTTGGCTGATGTCATTCAGCCTTTTCTCCTTGCTGCTTAGTCAGGAGATTCTCAC